CATCAAACTCGGATATTGCTACAAATGGATACTTGAAACAGTTGTATTATTGCTGACATGTCGATTGGAAAAATGAAAAGTTGGTAACCTCTATTTTCTTATAGACCGCTTACTTAATGAAAATGTGCTTCCAATATTGAAATTATTCACTTTGTCTTGTATATACTTCCGTTAATAACGATACTCAATTATTACGTCAAAATATTGCCGAACTTAGGATGACACTAAGAGCCGAATTTTATATCTACTGTATTACCCTTACATTATCACGTGTAGAAACAAAACCAACAAGGGATAAAAAGTTGTTATTATTACGATAATTAAAGAAATAGAAAAGAAGAAGCAAGTTTCCTTTTTTCCTTCTCAGTGACAAGAACACATGATTGCGATTATCATTTTATTTATAGATATTAATAAAAGCGCCAAAATTAATTCTGTTAACAATAAAAAATTACAAATTCCAAAACCTTGTAGTTTTCCTATCATTTCTACATGTGAAATAACTCCCATATTTCAAATGAAATGGTAAACATTTTGTTTTTAGGAGCTACAATTTAAACTTATAGGTAGGTTCTGAATATTCAGTCGTGATTCTCAAACCTTTTTAAAGTAAGTATCTTTTCTATAAGGCATATTCAACGTTAAATTAAAGAAAATTCTTTTGACCACCTTCGTTCAAAGGAAAAGCTCGTTATTGTTAGAAATACTAGTGGCGTTAAATCTGTATACATTTTGATGAATTACCAAAGCCGAACTACTATAGTTACTCTTGATGATGCAGCAACAACATTAGCAATCGCAATCAAATAATTATTCATCGCGTCTTATAAAGATATTGTATTTTTTTGTTACACAATACGAAGGCCCAAAGGAGACCCATTTTTCAATGGTTGTACTTAGAAATATCCAAGTCGGCGGTTAACACCTGACCGCAGAGTAGTCTTTTTTTTTATAGCACAAAATTGAATGAGTACCCTTGATGTACCCACATTATTTATTATCAAATAAAAAATGACTCACCATCACTATGTAGGAAATCCGCTGAAGTCCATACACAATTTCATTATACGGAGATATCTGCAACAAAACAAAAATAATACATGGTAACTTATGGAGAAAATTATAAAGCGAAAATTTTCTACAGCTAGAAAATACGCCTCAATTAGAAAATACTACAAATGGCGCGGTAAACGCCATCTGTAGTTCGATGCTACATTTTAGGATTACGTATGCTCCAACAAGGTCCATTTAAATATATGAATATCTACTTGCTAAAACGAATCCCGGCGTAGCTAACCTCATCGTGATAGGCACGTTACCATAATCGAATAAAATAATTCGAAGTGGTGTGTATTCTGTCGAAACTACTCGATTATGGTAAGGTGCCTATCACGTTGAGGTTAGATACGCCGGGATTCGTTTCAGCAAGTAGATATTCATATATTTAATGGACCTTGTTGGAGCATACGTAGTCCTAAATGTAGCATCGTACTACAGATGGCGTTTATCGCGCCATTTGTAGTATTTTCTAAAACGCGCTGTTAAGGCAGCAGGTAAAGGTTGGTCTGTGTTCTGTCGGAGCTGCCTACGACGCGCTGATGAGATCCAAAAAGATCGAGATCGCGATCCGCGTCTGGCAGTTTCGACAGAATACAGACCACTTCGAATTATTTTATACGCCTCAATTAATTAAAAAAATCCAATCCAACATTTTATTTCGTTATATTTATAAACACCTCCTTTTATAAGACTTTCCAAATATATAGAATAATATTATACAAAAATCCTTTTATTTCAATATTCATTTCTTACTTCCTGATTGTACCGTTTGGTGCGTTATAATATAAACATCATTTGCGAATGAACGAAACACCTTAATAAATACAAATGATGTACACCTAACTTCCCATTCTTTGACGTTGTATATAATTCAGTTGAAGGCGCCGGCTTCGGTAAAAGAATGTTGTAACACAAAGTATAGATACGTAATTAACAATAACCCTGTTTTAATCAACTGTTTTCCATATAAAGAGCGATATCAAAATGTAGATTAATCTCCACCTATTTAATGAGAAAAATAGTGCGATAAATATTCAGAAAATGTTCTTTAATTCGTGGAAAAAGCACAAAAATTTCCATAGCCGCTGTGAAGGCGGAGACTTACACACAAATCGTCAATATGTCACCTTTTATTTCGGATAGTTTCCACTGATTATGTATGTAAATGATGCCATAAATTAAACTGAAATTGTAGGAAAAAGGCAAGGCTTTGCTAGGAAGTTAAACAGTTAACACGATATACAGGGTGCTCTTATTTTCATTCAATACCTTAAAGGAAACGTTACGACTTACTAACTGATCTGTTTTTTTTGTCTGGTCTATTAGGTTTTTTCAAAATCTTTTCAAATTATAATCACCCTAAAAAAGCTCTGAACTAAAGCTTTGCTACTCACTAAGTTTTATTTTTGATAACTATTATAATCTCACGCTTTGTATAGTTTTGAAGGGCACTGAATGAGCTTTTATTTCAAACAGTTGAATAAAAGAAATCAAGTGTTCAAGATGGTAAAAATACCGAAAGGAAAAACAAATCATTATCATACGTTCGTCGGTCCTTAGACTGGTTGAACACGTACCTCCACTCTTCCCTATCCTCAGCTAATCTTCGCATTTCCCTAAAACTAGAACAACCCACATCGTTAACTATTTGCGAACAGTAATCTAATCTAAGTCTACCTCTATCCCTCCTAACTCCCGTTTCTGCCTCTAATATGTCTCTGACTAGACCTTCATACCTCAGAAGGTGTCCTACCAACCTATCTTGCATATTTCTTATTGACTTCCATAGAGTCTTCTGTTCACCTATTCTTTCTAATACCTGTTCATTTCTAACCTTCGCTATCCACGATATCCTCATCATCCGCCTATAACACCACATTTCGAACGCTTCTAACCTTTTCTTTTCCGCCGCGCCCACTGTCCATGTTTCGCACCCGTACAACGCCGTGCTCCAAACATACACCTTTAACAAC